GGGGTTGGTGCTGGGATTTAGGATGAGGGTTGGAGGTATGAATAATTAATTTTACTAACAGAATACCGTATGAGTTTCAAAATGTCCATATGATTCTAGAGACCTTTAAAAAGTATATAATACTCTATTTGTCTAAAAAAAGATTCTTCATTTTTTTCTGAGCATCCTAAAAAAAGATCTCTTTTCTCATTTTTGGCAAATTGTGTGGCCCAACATCTTTCTATCTCATTTGTATCACTTCTAACTACATAATTTTCTTTTTAAAAATTTTATTCGAAACATAATTGAAAGATTTTTTGAGGCAGAGGAGTAATAGATTATAAAAATATGGTATTTCAAAGTTATAATTTAAAATGAATCTATTAATATTAAATTTATATCAAAGTTTAATATATTTTCTCCTTATTTTGAATTTAAAATTAAAATTTAAAAAATTTGACTAGAAAAATCAAAACCAAAGGAAAGACAGGGAATTGAAAAAATAATATTCCCGTCTATGAGTATTTGTCCACTTCTAGCTTTTTTCAATCAAAATTTTAAATTTTGATTTCAAATTAAATAAAAATAAAATCACATACTAATCGAGACTCTTACCAGCTAGCGCAGTGAGTGCCAACTATGTTGCTCTACTCCGCCGCCGCGACCATTGACTACCACCGCCTCCGCCGCCTCTCTTTCTCCCCATCTCCACCCAACCTTCTCTCGCCCCCTTCTGGGCTCTCACGATCGGCTCTACTGAAGCCTCCGCAGATCCCCGCGATCTGTTGTTCTTCAAAACCCCATTCCCGCAGCTCTGGCACCGTTGAATCAGAGGAGACGAAGACGCTCAATTGGTACACTATCTACAAGAAGATAACCAGGGTGGGGCTCCCGCCAGAGGGCGACGCTGCTACAGTGCTAGACGAGTATGAAAAATCCGGCATTAAGATCGCAAAATTCGACATTTCCCGCATAATTAAGGAACTCCGGAAGGCCGGGCGTCCCAAACATGCCCTTCAGGTCAGAATTAACGTTTTTTCCCTCTATGATTTACAAAATTTGATGTGTATAGAGAGAATGTTTCGATATAATGTCCAATACCCAGTTCTTGTTTGGGATTTAATTATACTATTACAGTTTGGTAAGTCTATGTATGGAATGGAATTTTACTGGGTTTGTTTGTTTGTTTTGGGTAAGTCTATGTGTAAGATGTGTTTATTCTTTAGGTTCACGAGTGGGTGAAAGATAGAGCAGATGTGTATCATCTAACTGCGGTCGACATTTCCATATACTTGTATTTGATATATGAAGTTCATGGGATCTCAAAAGCTGAAGACTACTTCACGAGCTTGCCAGAATCTTTGAAGAAGAAACACGTATACCGTTCGCTCTTGAGGGTCTATGCCCGTTCCGGAGTGAGGGAAAAGGCTGAATCTCTGTTCGAAGAGATGCGAAACCGAGGCTATGCCAGCACTAGTGCGCATCCTTATAATGCGATGATGGACCTTTACCTTAAACTCAAGGATTATGACAAGGTGGAGGGCATGATTGTGGAAATGGTTGAGAAGAATATATTAGACGTGTTTTCTTATAATGTCTGGTTGAGATGTTGTGGCCTTCAAGGATCTGCGGAGAAGATGGAACTAGTGTTTGAGAGAATGAAGAGGGACCCGAGTGTCATTCCAAACAAGAAAACACATATAGCAATGGCTTCGAGTTTCATTGAGATGGGAGAGTTGGAAAAAGCCAAAGATTGTTTGAAAAGGTTGGAGCTCGGAATCAAAGACCGCATAACTTACCATTATCTCATTAGTCATTATGGCAATGTTGGTGATAGGGAAGCCATACACCGTGTTTGGAATGTCTACAAGTCGAAATTCTCCTACATCCCAAACACGGGTTACCAATCTGTAATCTCTTCTCTTCTACGGGTGGATGACATTGAAAGTGCTGAAAAAATGTTCGACGGGTGGATGTCAGCCAAGACTCGCCACGACCCCAACATAGTGAATCATCTGCTGAGTTGGTATTTGAAGAAGAAGCAATTGGAGAAGTGTGAAAGTGTCTTTTCCTCAACAGTGGACGCGGGAGGGAAGCCAGACACTTATACACTGGATATCATGGCTCAAGTGCATATCAAGAAGGGGAGAAAAATGGAAGCTTTGTCTTGCTTTAGAGATGCTGCCTCAGCAGAAGGATCAAGCAGCTGGAGGCCCAGTAATGCTACTATAGCTTCTTTTATAAAGCTCTGCGATGAAGAAGATGACGTGAAAAGTAAGGAGGAGCTGGTTGAGGTTTTGAGTGGAACGGGATGTTTCAAATACGAGGATTATGTGTCTTATGTTGCTTCACAAAACGGTTTGGGCGGAGATAGGAAGACCGAAAGTGAGAAAGATGGGGATGAAATGAGTGAGCCCTTCTACCCATTGGAGTTTTAGAAAATCTAACTTGCTGCTGTTTGTTTGACCTGCTGTATCATTTTGTCAGGTGTGACTCTTGATGTCCCTCTTTGAAAAAAAAACATTTTAAGATTCTTGAGAAAAAGTTCCTTTCTTGGCCAAATTTCTTTAACATGAGGTGTTTGTTTTTAGATAAATTGGGAAATGGTACATTTACCTTAGAGATGGTGATACATGTGTGTTGATTTTGCTTCTCAGAACGGTTCCAGTGACACTAAAGTTCGGTGTCATCTGATGACACTGGGTCTCTCTTTTCATAAAATTAATGATTCAGATCCCGTTCCGTTCAACTTATTTTTTCTTATTTTTTTCTTATTCTTATTAAAATCAGATCAGATCAGATCAGATCGAATCAGATCAGATCGAATCAGATCAGATCAGATCCAATCAGATCAGATCAGATCAAGACTTATTAAAATAAGATCTCATCAAGAATTATTATTATTATTATTATATTATTATTATTATTATTATTATTATTATTATTATTATTATTATTATTATTATGATCATCATCATCATCATCACCATTATTATTATTATTATTGTTCTTAAAAATGAAAAAGAATAAACTTTAGAAATAGGTTAAATAAAAAGCTGAGAAAGTAATCCTTAATTATTAGACGTCGGAAAAATTAGTTTTAAAATACATTGACAATGTCAATCTAATTCTACTTTTAAAATATATTTTTATTGCTACTTGTAATTTGAGTTTCTAAACTTTTGATCTTTTATAAGGATGAGATATTTTAATAAAAATACTATCTCTTCTATACATTGATTATCTAAATTTAATTAATTNTTTAAATGTATATCTAAATTAAATATTTATTCCAATGTATAATTCTAATTTTACAAAAAAATTATCATAAAATAAAAAATATTATTACATTATAATATGAATGATTATTCTAATATATGAATTAACTATTTTTATTTTATTAAAAAGGAATCATTAAATAAAAAATATTGATTATATTATAATATGAATTATCATTACAATTTTCAAACGTTATTATAAAGTCAAATTAAATTATTGATTTGAAATTTTAAATTAAATCATAATTAATCAGATTAGACCAGATCAGATCAGATCCAATCAAATCAGATCAGATCCAATCAGATCAGATCAGATCCAATCAGATCAGATCCAATCAGATCCAATCAGATCAGATCAGATCCAATCAGATCAGATCAGAACTTATTAGAATCAGATCAGATCAGAAAAAATAAGTTGAACGGAACGGAGCCTCATACTTCCTCTAATTATTTGTTTTACTTGCTAAAAACACTCTTTAAAAAAACTTTGGAGAGGGGCTTAGGGCGGGGCTGGGAGGGTAGGGATGGGGCTATGGTGGGGGGTTTAGGGGATGGGTTAGGAGTAGGAATAATCAATTTTCCGATTGGAGCATCGGAGGTACTCCAAAAACGCAGTGGCACCGCTAGTGTCACCGTTGGTGAGTGTCAACGGAACCGTGCCCATACTTATATTCGTTTTTTAAATGGAACTTCGTTGGGGTTTTGAAGTCGAGATTTGTGCAACATGTAGTGAAAATACATACTAAAGTCTTGTACAAATAAACTAATACGGAGTATAATTTTTCATGTAAGTGGTAGATGATTTTTTTTTGTAATGGAGACTAACACTGAAAGTGTAGTAGTTTAATGAACATTTTTTTTCTTCCCAATATGTATGAACTTTTCATCATCACTTAAAGTTTTATATATAAAATCGATGTTGTATAACACACAATTGAAACGCAAACAAAACTTTCACAAAGAAAGAACAAGAAAGTCATACGAATTTTATAAAAAACGATGACATAAAATTTTCAATTCTAAAATAAATCCTGAATGAGTTATTCATTGGACATAAAATATAACGGTTGAGTTATTTTGTCACCAACTAATGGTATTATATCATGACACTCAATCAAATTAGAACCATTAGGGTATTTTGTTTATCGATTAATGACTCGAGTCATTTTAGAAGAGAATTTGATCTCACCCTTTCATTAAACAACAAAAATGATGAATCTCATCCTAAGGTTCCCTTATGTGAGGCCTAGTTTGGACAAATAACTGCAAACAAATAAATGAAATTTGAATAAATACATGTCCCTTATGACATGTAGTTTTTCATTTTTAGTTCTATATCCATGATCTTTAATTTTTGAAAATTATTTCATAATTTGGTCTAAAAGAGTAATTATGAAAAAAATTAAGCACCACAAATATAATATCTTAGAATTAAAGACTAAATATCAAAAATCAATTGTTTTAAAACCATGTATAGTCATGGAGCTCCGAGGATGTTGTTATACGTCATGTGACAGTCACTTCATCGGGAATTCCATAACCATAAAATGATGCACCGTACAATTACAAAACTTCATCTTTATTACACCTTTTTTTAAAGAAGTGAAAAAATTGAAAATTAATTTTTCCAAACCAAAAAAATATAGCTTAACTATAATAAGCACATGAACGCCTATGATATGAGTTGCTCTTTGGCTTTTTTCGTTTTTTTGGTTGGCGGGGGAATGATGAATATCTTATCCTAATCCCTAAAATAAACGAGAAAAGGGGGGGTTTTCCAGCCAACGCATCAAAGAACCATGTTGCTCCACACCGCCACCGCTCTCACTGCGGCCGTCGACCATCACCGCCTCCGCCGCCACGCTTTCTCACCGTCTCCGTCCAGCTCGCGCTCACCCCTTACTGGGTTTTCAATATCGACTCTTCCAAAGCCTCCACGTAGCTCCACAATCTCATGCTCTTCAAAATCAAGATCCCGCGGCTCTGGCTCTGCAGTGGGCTTCGAGAAGAGGAAGAAGCTCGATTGGTACACTATCTACAAGAGGATATCCATGTTGGGTTACCCGGAGAAGGGCAACGCTGCTACAGTGCTGGACCAGTACGAGAATGAGGGCATCAAGATCTCAAGATTCCACCTTTCCCGCATTATCAAAGAGCTCCGCAAGTTCGGGCGCCACGAATTCGCTCTCCAGGTTAGCTGTTTTCGCATAAGATTAAGGAATTGCAGATGAAGATGTTTGGGTTTTAGTGTTGTTACTGTGTGGTAAATCTGTTTATGTTCCCAGATGAGATGTGTTTGTATTGCAGGGTTATGAGTGGATGAACAATAGAGCAGATAAGTATCACCAATATGCCGTGGATGCTGCAATTCATTTAGATTTGATATCCAAAGTTCATGGAATCTCAAAGGCAGAAGACTACTTCTTGAGTTTCCCAGAATCTTTGAGGAAGAAAGAACTATACGGTTCGCTGTTGAACGCTTACGCCCATTTTGGAATGAGGGAAAAAGCTAAATCTGTGTTTGATGTGATTCGAAACCGGGGTTACGCAGATGGTAATCCTCGCCCTTATAATGTGATGCTGACCCTTTACATGAAACTCGAGGAACACGATAAGGTGGAGTGTATGGTGTTGGAAATGGATGAGAAACATCTTCTAGACATATATTCTTATAATATCTGGTTGACCTCCCGTGGCTATCAGGGGTCTCCGGAGAAGATGGAGCAAGTGTTTGAGAAAATGAAGAGGGACACGAGTGTCGTCCCAAACTGGAGCACGTACTCCGTGATGGCTTCTATGTTCATCAAGATGGGGGAGTTGGAAAAGGGCAAAGATTACTTGAGGAAGTTGGAGTCTGGAATCAAGGGTCAGGATCGCACGGCGTATCATTATCTCATAAGTCTTTACGGCAATGTTGGTAACAAGGAAGGGATACACAGTGTTTGGAATGCCTACAAGTCATACTTTGCCTACATTCCAAACATGGGTTACCATTTGGTAATCTCATCTCTTCTAAGATTGGATGACATTGAAGGTGCTGAAAACGCGTTCCATGAATGGATGTCAGCTAAGACACATCATGATGCAAGAATTGCAAACCATCTGCTGAGATGGTATTTGATGAACGGGCAATTGGAGAAGGTTGAAAGCGTCTTTACATTGTTGGTTGATGCTGGAAGAAAGCCAAGCTCAAAGACATTGGGCATTCTTGCCCAAGTGCACATCAAGAAAAGGAGAATATCGGAAGCTTTGTCTTGCTTGAGAGATGCTGCTTTGGCAGAAGGATCTAGTGGCTGGAGACCGAATTATGCTACGATAGCCTCATTCATAAAGCTTTGCGAGGAAGAAGATGACATGACGAGTAAGGAGGAATTGATGAAGGTGTTGAGTGAAGCTGGATGTTTCGAATACGAAGATTATTTGTCTTATATTGCTTCACAAAATGATAGTGGGAAGGATGGGGATGAAATAAGTGACGACGTCGTGCTCAATGAAATCTATGGAGGCTTAGAGTAACTGACCTTACATTTGTGTTTCGAAATCGTTTTACGCGGTGTTAAGGTAAGGGAATTGATGTCCTTTGGGAAAACACTTGAGTAGGTTCTTGTTGAAGAAGATGGTTTGATGAAGGATTTTGAAGAACATTTTTAAGCTACTAATGATCACTTAATCTCTTTGTCTTCTTGATAAATGTATCCGTGTTTTAATAACCGATTGACATGATAGAAGTATGCCATGTAATGTAATTTCAATCTGGTTTTTGTTCATTTCTAGAAACATTTTATATAATCAAGATTAGGGGTGTTCAAAAATATCCGGTCCGAAAAATCCGTCCATGATCCGGGCCGATTCGATCCGAAAAATGTATACCCGATCTGATATTTTAGCTTTTGGATATTTCGGATTGGATATCCGAAAATATTCGGATCGGATATGGAATGAAATATTAAGATTTCGGATATCCGTGGATATCCGAAGTTCATATTTAAAAAAAAAAACTAAATATAAAAATAAAGCTTAGACAACTTAAGCCCAATTCATTTTCATCATCATAAATATTTGAATCTAAGATTAATTGAAGTTTTTTACTTTAGTCTTTTTGTCGATGTTTTATTTGTCAATTATGTTGATATTTTTTTCATATATTTATAAAATTATGATTTATGATAACACTATCAAGGTAACTATGACTTTTAAAATAGAGTTGACTTCAAATTCAAGACTTATTTTATGACTTCTACTATTTTAACAAAAAATCATTCTAAATAATTGTTTAGAATTATTAGAAAAAATAATCATTCAAAATAAATAAATAAATAAATTTTTTTCTGGATATTCCATTGTTCCGATCCGGTTTTTCGGATATCCGAAATTTGGGTATCCGGTAATTTTCGGATCGGACATGGAATAGATA